TTATTTAATTAATATGGAAATTATGCATTTTAAATTTTATATCTCCGGAGGCCAATTTTTTTCTTAACACACTGTATATATCATCAAAAAAAAAATTTTGTAAATTGAAAGTTAATTCATGTAATAATTAAATAAATTGTTAATTAAATTAATTTAATTTAAAAAAAAATTTTACTTTTTCTTTTTATTGTATTGTTACTATTATCATTATTATTACCAAGAGCTAGTAAACACAGGATGATGTAACATAACTGGAATGTTTGGCCAAGATGGTCAGTAATTCAATATAAGATCTTTAAATGTAGAATTTTCTCATGTTGAGCCTTTACAAAAATTAGAAGCTGCTGGCATTAGTTCAATATGCTTACAATTTGTCTCTGCAGCTTCATAGGTGTAACTAAGACATGGTTGTTTCAATGGTGATTTGTGTGTCACTGTAAAAGGATGCCAATGGAATGAATGGTGCAACATGCAAAAAAAAACAGAAATGAGTGAAAAAAATTTTTTTTACTTGTATTTTATAAATCTAATTGTTGCTTCAACATAGAGATTTCCTTTTCCAGTGCCACATCTTCTTCATCTTCCACTTTCAAAAAGAATGATAGTAGAAAATAGTTTAGTATAGCAAACATTAATTTAATATAAGGATAAAAAATTTTTTTTATGCATCATATTAATTTATTGAACTACTCTTATATCATTTTCTTTATCTCTTTCATTTATGCTATATTAAATTTTAAAATTGACGCAGAAACGCGGGTTTTATTTTTTATTAGTATCAGTCATGTGACATTTCCTTTCAAATTATTTTCTATACTAACTAGAGTAACGACAAGTGGCGGGCGATAACTGCCACCACCATTCTTAAAAAACTTGCTCAAGTATCATCATTTTTTCTTTTTTTCATGTATTTTTTTTGATGACATTTTTTGAGAGGAAAAAATAAAAAGAAGTTTGTTATTTGATCGATGCGTACAGACTAATTATTTATCCTATTGGTTTTTTTTTTGGTAGGACAGACGCATATTGTTTTGGAAAAATAAAAAACAATTTATTTTTTGACAGAGTCCAAGGTGACAAAACGTGAGTGTTGTTGTTTGGTTTGGTTTGGGTCTCCTGAAGAATACATGTTAATAACTAACCAGAGGTAGTGATGGGCATAAACATTATTTTGAAAAATGACCAAGTTATTAAGTACTTAATAACTCTATTATTAAGTGTTAAAAACACAAACATGCAGATCTCTTATTGGTAACTGTTTAATCAAATATTAATTTGATAAACAAGTTAATAATTAATTTAGTACTGTGCATAAAATTCAGTGTGCAGAGTGTGCATGCTAACCAAATTTGATAAATTTTTTCCAAATCTGCTGAATTTGGTTAGCACAGCACATTCCACATGCTGAATTCTATACACTGGGATTGATTGACAAAATGGATCTTTTGGATTAATAACTCTCACTCAGAGTGCAACAGTTAATAAGTGGTTATTAACTATTAATAACTTGGAGTTATTAAGTGTAGGGTTAAAAATTCCCATCACTACACATGCATGTATCATAAACGTACGTATGTATGTGCTTAAAATTTTTTTAGTACATTGTACAAACATATCATGTGATTTATGATAATTTTTATTATTATTGGTTGATCAAATGTAATATATATATATATATATTACAGTCAAGCATCGTTTCAACGAATCTCTGGGGATGGTCATTAAAATTTGTTGAAACAAAATTTTAACTATTTAGTAATGATCGACACACATAATAAAAAAAAATTTTTTATTTGAAATAACCAGTAATACATGTTTGTTTTTGGTTTCTAACATGATATAATGTCACTTTTCTTTTTAATGATTTAAAAGCTTTTAATTCATTATAATCTATTTCTAAATTGTTCTGTTCAAGAAAATTATAGACAGTTTCAAAAGCATTGACTGCATCTTTTGTTGTAATATTGGGAATATTTGTATCATGTTCCGTAACTTCTTCCTCTTCTTCAACTTGTGTAAGAGAGTTAATAATCTCTTCCTCAGTTACCATTTCACTATTAGTTGACTTATCATCAATTGATACATATTCCTGTGCAGTCAATGGTGAACTGAAAGGAAATTTATTTATTAAATCTTCAATATCACTTTCTAAATTAATTACATCCTCAACTTCTTCTGCTACATTGTCTGACAATGGAAGAATGCCAGTTTTCCTCCAGCAATTATTAATGGTAATTGAGGTAACATTATCCCAAGCTTCTGCAACAAATTTTATAGCTTTTTTAATATCAAATTCTTTGGGTTTTTTATCCTCTTGTTTCTTGTCATAAATTTTAATCTTTTTTTTCAATAATAATTTTCGATAATTAGCCTGTAAAATGGTATAAAGGTAAGTCAAAATATAACTTTTTAATCAATTTATATCAAAATATTTATTTACAAACAAACCTTAAAAGAATGTATTATCCCAGCATCACATGGTTGTAGAAATGCGGTTGTGTTTGGAGGCAAATAATGCACATTTACATTTGTTAACTGCACATTATCCATTAAATTATGGGTTGGTGCATTGTCAACAAGCAATAATATGTTTCTATTGGCAATCTTCATTTTATTATCTAATTTTTTTAAATAGTCATTCCATATGGAGACTTGCATCCATGCTTTGCTATTCCAATAATATTCAACTGGTAAAGACTTTTTGTTAATATTTTTTAGTGGTCACGGATTCTCATATTTATGGATAAATAATGGCATTAACTTTTCACTACCAGTTGAATTACAAGTTAATAATATTGTTACTCTATCTTTATTTTGTTTTGTACCTGAGATAGGGCCTGTAGATAATCCGTGAGATGGTTCCATTTTCCAGAAAAGACCAGTTTCATCACAATTAAAAATATCCTCTGCATGATACTCTTTAAGGATATTTTTTAAGTCTTCTCTCATTATCGGAATTTGTGTAATGGGTGCACTTTGAGATTCTCCATGTTTGTTATATTCCTGAATTGAATATCTCTGCTTAAAATTATGAAGCCAACCAGATGATGCTTTGAAGCTATTATTCCCCAATAATTCCGAAAATTTTAAAGCTTTTTCTTGAATGATAGAACTTGTAATAGTTAAATTGCATTCAATTGCTTTCTCAATCCATAAAATTAAAGCCTCTTCAATATTTACAACAGGAGAAGCATGTGGTTTTTTAATTTTGCTTCATAAGAGTTTGGATCAATTTTGAGCCATTTATCAGATGTTCTCAATATATCAGTAACTTGGCCTGAACTAATTCCATATTTATCCGCCAGTTCAATATTTTTTGGTTGAGGTTTAGCTTTTTTTAATAAACAAATTTCGCATTTTTGCTCTGCAGTGATATATACCCGTTTTTTAGAAGAAGATTGAGACATTTTATCAATGATATCAAAAATTATTTATTTGGTTATTAATTATGTGAAATCAGAAGCAATTATTTATTTGTTATTAATTGTGTAGGAATTATTAATTTTAAAAAACCCAATAAAAGAAAATTTTGTTTTTATTTATACATTTTAGAAATACTCAAATGTTTGATTAAAACAATAGTAAGAATATTTTATTTGAATGTTCTTTATTTTCTTTAATTTGGGTTTGGAGAATTATCACTATTTGTGTAAAATCATTATTTAGTAAAGTGGATTTTATTTTGTTTGATTAATTAGTATTTAATCATGTGATGAAAATTTTAGATAATAATTTATTAGTAAATTGGTTTTTTTAATAATAATGTGAATTTTTCTTTATTGTTTTTTTTCCCTAGAAATTTGGATTTTGAAGAATTGTCGCGCATAAAAACTATTCATATAAAATCATTATTTAGTAAAATGGGGCATACTGCAACAAAACCAGACAAAGTGAACATTGGTGTTACCAAGTATTTCAGGGGTCAAAATTTAGTCATTTGTAATGTGATCATAATTAACAGTATTATAATATGGGGCATGCTGCAACAAAACCAGACAAAGTGAACATTGGTATTACCAAAAATTTCAGGGATCAATAATGTTTGTCTAAATATTACAAAGTGCAAATTAAATGTCTGCTTTTTGCCCATAATTGAATTACTATGTAATTATGAGTTGCTGAAAAAGCGGAAAATAATTTTGCACACTGTAATATAACAATAATTATTTTACACCATTTATAGAGTGTGTACTGGTTTTTCTTGTTCACATTTCTTTATTTTCTTAATTTATTTTGCATAGGTTTATATTTATCATTTATTGGTATTATGTTAGGTATTATTATTTATATTAATATTTCTTGTATGAACAAGTTACCAGTTGAGTACTGCAAGCTTTCCAGAAAAGTTATAAGATATTAACAATTATGATAATTAATTATTTATTTATTATTATTAATTAGTTGTAATAATAACATGTATTTCCTAAAATCTTTTTCCCACCAGGGCGCAGCCAAAAAATCAAAAAAAATTTTTTAGATAACATAAAAACAATATACATATAAGCATAGATAAAGAAAAACTTCCAATCTCAAGAATAGTTGTGGGGAGGAAAGTGGAGTTAATGAAGAAGTCAGTTTTGTAAAAAAAAATGAAACAAAAACTTTTATTTCTTTAATAAAAGGTTCAACAACAAAAATAATATTTATTGCTATCAATAAAAAGATAACAAGCAACAACACAAATTTCAAGAAACAATGGTGGGTTTTTCAACGTTTCTTGGCAGATATCTTACATGATCAATAATTGGGGTGCTTCATCTTAATTCTCTTTTTTACAAGAAAAGAGGCTTCATGGAGATTGTGCACGACGTCAAGTCGCTACTTTTAGTAAAATTGGGTTTTTTATTTATTAATTCGTATGTAAAATTTTAAACCTAAAAAAATAAAAAATAAAAAATAGTGACTCATTAATTCGAAACTTGTTAACTTGTTAACTTAGTATGTATTTTAATAAACACTTGTCTTTTGATGTTCCTGATGTAAATTACAGTTATAATAAAATGATAACGAAATAATATACATTTAAAAGAAAAAAATATATTTGAAAATCAAGTTTATTAGTCTTGCTAGCTAATTAATTAATTAAACCATTTGCACAGCATAAATCAAATTCAAATATTCACAATGATGAGATATCTAAATTAAATAGCAATGATAGCTTGTTAAACAAGCTTGATGTTAATGAATACAATTTTATAATGTCCAATTAAATGGTTAATTAATTACTGATTAATTATAATGATAACAAGCTTACAACCGAGAACGCAATGTGAGCTTCTGCTACGCGAGAACAAAAATTCATTTTATTTTAACATCACATCAAACTTGGGTTTGGACCGCGTCTTCTTCGTCGCAAAGAGCAAAAAAAAAATGACAATAGTCTATTTTATT